ATCCATCCATCCATCCATCCATCCATCCATCCATCCATCCATCCATCCATCCATCCATCCATCCATCCATCCATCTATCTATCTCAGACAAATATCACTGAAACTAGATGCCACGTACCAGTAGCATGTATGACCCCCGCAAATCAGCAATACACCAGAACTCACCAGAACAGATTCATTGTTTTGGATGGGGGTCCGCATTTGTGGGCACGATGGACAGCCCTTCATCAGAGCTAAACAAAAGAAAAAAAATAGAAATCTGAAGCTCCTATGTTGAAATGTTTCAGTATAAGCATTTTTTTGTCCGCAAACCCCCTTTTTAGATAGAGCCCCCTCCCCTAAAATGGGGTCTTTTGTAAAACCGTTGGCTGGCACAGTGCAGGTCAGACACATCTACATTTTTACCAAATTTCACACTGATCGGTGCAGCCGTTTCTATGATACAGTTGACCAACAATCATAATGGTAAAAAAAAATAAGCAGTATGAAAACAATACGGCCCCTGCTTCGTATGTGGGGGTCATAATTACTGATCACTTTTGCAAAGAAGGCCTGGTTGGTTGGTTGGTTGGTTGGTTGGTTGGTTGGTTGGTTGGTTAGTTTATAATGAAGGCCCTAAAATAAAATAGATTTCCTTTGTGTTTTGGAAATGATCTCATGTGCACAGGTATCTATTTCATGCACAAGAAAATAATTAGTAAACAACTKTATTACTCACAAAAAGCATGTTCTCTCCTAAAACAAAACAAAACTAGCATTTGTTTGTTTTGTTGCTGTACTGAATTCAAATTGAACTGACCTTCATGTTGAAGTGTGTACCAAACTGTGCCATCAGACAAAGTATGAATGCTGTGTCTCATTTTGTTGATTCTTCCAGGAAAGACTGGACTTTGCCATGAAGGAGATCATCTACGACCTCCTGAGTGTGGGCAAGTCTCAAAAAACCTTTACCATCAATCCAGAGGTAAAAATCTAAACTTGGTGGCATTGTCAAAGTGTTTAGAAATGTTTTTTTTTCTAATGCTCTCATTTTTTCCTGCCCTTCTAGAGGATGAATATTGGTTTGCGAGCCTTCTTGGTGATTGCTGACAGCCTRCAGCAGAAAGATGGAGAGCCTCCAATGCCCACAACTGGGATCATCATGCCCTCTGGAAACACCATGCGCGTCAAAAAAATCTTCCTCAACACCACCCTCACTGACGAAGAAGCTAAAGTCATTGGTAGGTTTGATGTTTGGACAGTACCGTATTTTTCGGACTATAAGCCGCACCGGACTATAAGCTGCACCCGCCTTTTAAAAAAAAAAATCCGCAAACATTAACATATAAGCCGCACCGGATTATAAGCCACACCCCCAACATAAAAAAAACAGTACACCCAAATTTGCCATCAAAAAAGTGAATTCAACATCAAAACATAAAAAGCAAACCTTTAAGAATTAAAGTTCGGAGGAATACGGTTCATTTAACTGACTTTATTTTGGTAGTTTTCTTTAACAGTTTCTGGTCCAACAAAACATCTCATTCATCTTCCTCCGGCGC